GTGAAGGTACATCACGGCATTCATTTTGACAATCAAGTGTTTTTTGGCGGAAGTGAAAGCTGGCCGCCAAGCACACGGCTCCAGCTTTGTGTGCTTTGGGGGATATTTGTGAAACGGTCAATGTCTCAGTATGTTTTGCTTGGTGTGTGGATTGATGGTAATCGTAGTTTGGGGTTGGTTGGCGCTGGTTTTATGATATGTTCCAAAGAATTTCCAAATGCAAAATGTAACTGGAAATTGGAACAAATAACTGTTTTTTCCCTGAGCGGTTTTATATTTCATGGTGCAGTTGCATCCTCGGTGTTTTGACGATGGTGACCCCAGGTCATGGAGGATGAGACTCATCATGAGGAGGCACCGATATTTTTCAATTTGTATTTTTCTTAAATTTGCTAAATGAAACGATTGTTTCATGGACAGGGGAATGCAATGTAATATATATATATATATATCACATGTATTTATTTACAAAAACATACATGCACTACCTAGATACTTAACACTCACGAAGGGTGTTATTAGCAGACCCTTTATCCAACAAATATTGGTTTACGGCCCCAAAAGTGAATATTTGCATTTTTAGATTGTATCAATATAATTTTCCAATCTTGATGGGGTTCCGTTCGGCACATATGGAAACACGTTCTTTTTGTTCAAGTGAAATACAGTGTTAGTTTATCATAGTGTTGCGATAGTTATCCAATGGATGCTGGACATTTTTTGGGATCGATGCCATGTTTTTGTGTTTTGTTGTCTGTTGTGGGATAGGAACGATGGTGATGTCATTTGTATAAAATGTTTTGAATTCAGGATCCCTTCGCTGAGTACCTGTCCCAGGACTGCACAACCTGCGAAACTTTCTATGCGAATTGATGTTTTATGTTTTGCTCCAAACATATTAAACATATATAACATATTGCGTTTTTCTGTTTTAAACAAACATTTGGTCATTTGGTTTTAATCATTTTGATGCCAAGAAAACGACGTTTTTTCTGCCATCATCCCACGGCCCACGAGGAGCCTGTCGCCGCAACTGCACCTCCTGAAGAGGCCAGTTTTTAGAGTTTAGCCAGTTTCTAGTCACCACTTGCAGTTGGTTTCCTTTTGAAATCCTTTTGATGCTTGGGTTTCTAGTCATCCTTGGACCCACCTTTGAAGTGGGGACATGCATGTCTTGGCACCCCAAAAAATAAAGAACCCAATAATCAGATAATAAAAGGGATCTAAACAACACAGTTGCGTCTGCTAAGGGAGCAGAGGCATTGCTACGGCTGGTGGCAGAGTCTTCTCAGCGTCTGGTGGCCCACGACCAGAGGAACATGAAACAAATGATATCGTTGGAAGTGACACGACTTCAATTTAAAGGAATAATTGAAATTTCTCCAGGACAGGGTAAGATCTTGATCTCAAGTTGGTTGATATTGTTTTTCCAAGCGCTGAGGGAGGGGCTGGTTTGTGCTGTTGACGAGCTGTAAAGGTAGGCTGGATTTGAACAATGTTCTTGATATCCCCAACTCAACCCAACTCCAGGTCGCACACCTGTTTAGACTTCTACAGCTTGAGCTTCCCCATTTCCCCAGCATAGCTTGAAAGAATTATGATTTCTTGGGACATCACTAAGTTTGACAAGTCTCAGAGCGGGAAGTGTTATTTTTTCTCGCTGTATGCAAGGCCAAGAACAATTGTTGGGAAAGGCTCGGAGATGACTGGATGATGTCGATTTGTTTCAACAGGGAGACATTGTTTCAACGGGGGTGCAGGATGCACCTGCTTTTGCAGATGTTAGATCCCTCAGATCGATTCAGAACAATTAGCTGGACAGTGTCGATATCACTGTGGGGGCATAGATTTCTGCAGGTATGCAGCCTTCTTGTGAGCTTGGATGAAAAGATGGGCCGCATTGCAGCTGCTCAGGAGTGATGATCCATAGGAACTGCAGGACCACGAAACAAATAATATGCGCACAGAAACACATTCAGCAGTGTATATGCACACACGTCCACACATATGAATATACGGTATACTGTAAATGAGGTCATTCTCCCGAAGGGATAGGGCTTTTTGTTTGTAAGATGTGCAGAATGTACATGTACACGCCAACTCATGTGCTTGGTGGATGAAACCTCTCTTCATGTTTGGATTTGAATCAGGGTGTCAGTATCCAAATCAACAAAAACCATCCCGCCCTCAGCCTTCATGTGAAAGCACCATGCCTTGACAGGTCCCTTGGAATTCGGTTTCATGTTTCATTTTTATAAACCTTTTTGTTGCAACGGTGCTTCATTTGTAGTGCCATGACTTTGGTGCTGATTCGAGAACCTGTGTCAATCCAGCGGCTTTTGGCGCCTCTCCTTGCGATTGACCGCAACCTTCAAGAGCCCCGAGACATCCTCTACGATTTGCAGGACATGGAAGATGATCTCACCGACTGGGATGTCCTTAGTCCAGTGGCACCCCTTCGCCAGGCGACCAGCCGCATTCGCCTAGTGCTTACTGAGCTTGAGACCCACAAATTGAGGATCAAGGTGTCAGTACCCAAATCAACAAAAGCGTTGATTTGATTTTTCCGCCCCTTTCAATTATGGCGGGTCTGGTGCCAGCTACTCAGCCACCTTTGCTGCCTGATATGGTGGAAGCCGATGTCCTTTGGCTTAGCGCTGGAGCAGCTGCCCCTGCGATTGGTCTGCGTGGCTTCGTTTCGCTGGCAAGACTCGCTGCAGGACATGGTGGAGGACTTGGAACATCATGCCTGCTCTGAGAGCCGTTTTGAGTCGCTCCTTTTGGTCATGAGGGATGGATCTGACCCAATCACCACTCGCAAAGACTCCATGGACCCAGCTGACAGTGCATCCATTGTCCCCACAGATGAAGTACTCCTGGCCGCCAGCCCTAAGGAGCAAGCTCGCTTGGCCCACCGCTTGGACTTCCTCATTGCCAAGACGGTGGATGTTCTGGAATGCACTGGTCATAAGTCCCCCTTGAACGCTGCCAGGCGTTTAGTAGTGTGGACTCGCTTGCGGGACATGGAGCCCGAGGATCTGCAGAGGCTGAAGCGTCAGCACACTGTCCGACATGCTGCACCTGATGAGACAGCTTGGTTTTGAGCTCCTCGCTAAGACTGGGGGTGTGGCCGTGGAGCTGTTTTGTTACCACTTTTGCAGGGGGTTTTCCATTGCTAGTTCGTGGATAGCTTGATGCTGCACTACCGGGGCTTAGCTCGAATGGTGCCCTCAGTCTTTAGCAGTGCCTGGACCTTGGAGAGAACGTGGTGTTCAGCAACAGTTTTCCATGTTAATATTTGTCGTGCCAACAGAGAGAAAAAAGGGGAAAGGGGGTGAGCGCATGGGTTGAGATCAGCTTGAGAAATGGTGTGCTAATGTGACATCATTCAACCGTGTTGGAGCATGCAAAAGTGTTTGCAGTGATTCCCGCAGTGGATGTCCACAGGCCGCGCATGTGCATGCATGTTGGGAACCCTTTTTCATGTGCCTGGGTTTGGCCCCAGCGGATTGCGAACTCTTTGCGTGAGTTTTTTTGCCACACCCTCAAGCTGGTTTCATCGATGTGTCATTTCATTTTTCCCTTTTGTTTTTGCATGTTCACCCGCGTGTCATGGTGAAGTGTGATCTGGTATATGTGAACCAGCCTTCATGCTCAGGCCACCTTGCGACGTGGTTCCACCAGGGTATGCACGGTTGGGGCCCTACTCGATGTGAGTGAGGGTTGATTGGGGAAACCGTCTCGCAGCATGGTGGAAATGTTTTCTTCAGCCTTCTCAGGCCTGTTGCCCTGGTGTTGGGCTCAATGTTGGCATTTCGATGTGGATATGCCACTGTTCACTGTGGAACACTTTGCACGAGCAATTTAGAGTGGGTTGCTTCTTGCCCGAGCCCAGGCTGTGTGATTTGGGTCCATACCTTGGCAGTGTGTCCATGGTGGGTGCTGCAATCAACCCTTTGAACATCACTCCATCAATGTATGTTTTTCCTCCACATTGTCGCGCCCTTCATTCAGGTCTGAAAGGCGACACATCCAAGGGAGGGTTGAGCCCCAAGTTGCGTGTGCATTCCGGGGGTTCGGAGGGTGATTTTTTTTGTTTCCATAGTGTGGTGTTTGCATCTCATTTGACACCTGGACAGAGGGTCTGCAACCATCAGTTATCTCTGAGGGACCAGGTCCTGCACCTGCCTGTGAGGTGCGTGGCAAATATTAGTGTTGTGGTGCATGTGAAACCGCTGGAACTGGTTGTCTTCATGTGGACATTGCCGCTAGGTTCTCACATTGATGTTTGTCGAAGTTTGGCTTGTGCCCTGTCCTGCAGGAACTGGTTGACTGTGGTCTGGCATGGGCGATCTATACTCCTTGCCAGCAAGCCAGCGGAGTGATGCGTCGGCTCCAGAGGCATTCACTGCACGGAGCACCAGTGCATGAGAGAGGCCATTGCAGATGCTCAAATGAGTTGAGCATCCACTCCGCGCATTGTGTTGCCTTGGGAATGCGTGCATTGTCTAGGGTTTTTGGAACGAATGATGAACTGTTAGTACCGGATGTACCCACGGTTTTGGGGTATGTTGAGCCGGTCTCCAATGAAGGTGGGCACATTGAGCCAGCAGCTGCGATTCGAACCAAATCAACGGCGTTCGAGCATGCCATTGCGTTTGAGTCCCGAAGGACGTGTCATTTGGAAGAGGATGAACAAATGCAGCTTCTCGCACAGAAATGGGAAGCTTTGATTTCAATTGACTATCATGCCTTCGACCTTGGGCTCGATACAGTTGTCTTACCCTGAAAGGGTGAGGGTGGTGCTGGAGGTCTTGGGTGGAAAGTCCACAGCAACAATTAGGCAGAGGCTGTCACAACTCAGCAGGTATGTCAAGTGGGTGACAGACCTTGCCAGGCGCCCACCATGTCCAGCTACATCGGAGCTTATCAAGAACTATGTGAGACACCTTAGACATGAATCTGCAACTCACTCCCGCTTAACTGGATTTGTGGAGGTCATGAGGTTTGCCAAGCACGTGGTGGGCCTGAGCTGCCAGATGGAGGCCTTTGACAGTGCATGGGTGGCAGGGATCTTCCGAGCTGCTGCCCAAAATCGTCCCCTCCGGAAACAATCGTCGGTTCTAACGGTGCCTGCAATCCAACACCTCGAGTCACTGTTGGGGGATGACAGCTTGGCCACAGTGGACCGGTACGCTACAGGTGTCTTCCTTTTTGCAATTTTTGCGAGAGCCAGGTTTGGAGACTTGCGCCAGATCTCAAGCATTGTGATTGATGAGGCAAATGCAGGAGTTGGTGACCATTTGGGATACTTGGCAGCGAAATGCAGCGAATTCTGCATCTTCGAAGATGAGAGCGACAGGAAATCGCCTGGGGGCCCATTTGCCATTGGTTAGTTGCACCACTGAAAGGTTTGGGAAAAGCGTCCTGGGGCAAGACCTTCATCAACTTAGCTGCACAGGTCAACTTGGACTTCTCCACGTGGCGCCCAATTTGCCCCTCCTCCCACCTCTGAACATGATAGGGGACTGGACATCAAGGCCAGCTACCTCAGGAGAGATTGGGAGATGGGTCAGTTGCTCATTGAAAGTGATTTCGAAGCAAGTGGCTTCACACTTCATGGATGCAAAGCCACAAACTTGGCAACTCGGATACAAGGTTGGTGTTAGGGCATCATCACACAAACAAGGGGGCATCTGAAGTGTACGCACGAGATGTGCAGTCAGCACCATTGAGGGTGCTGGAGACTGTTGAGGACATCCGACTGGGATGAGACTCGATCTAGCATGCTCAGGCGACCAGACGACCAGGCTGAACAGGTCACCAAGCTGCCACTTCCAGTGGCCCAGCCTGCACATTCTCCGGATGACTGGGTGTGCCCTCCAGTTGGTCCATTGCGAGGGCATGAGGATGCAGGCCGTGAGTTTGCAGATGCGCAGAGCGCCCCTTGGTCCACCTGATACTGAGGTCACCGAGACATGCCAAGATGATACGTCCTCTTCTTCATCAGATTCAGATGATGAAAGCTGCTTGGACGGAGTTGTCGAAACAATGCCAACCACCCCATGGAGGAGGCAGTTCTCGACCTTGATGTACGAAAAGCTGAGGCATCCAAGACAGAGTACTATCAACAAAGGAACTCGAAGGTCGTCCATGTCCTGTCATTGTTTGGGCACTCATTTTTGTGTGGCAGACAGTTGACCAAGGATTACAGAAACTGCTCTCTCCTCTTGGTGGTCGAGTCCATGAACCAGCAGTGTGGTAGGCGAGCGGGTGGCCGACCCAAAGAGGTCCCTAGCCCAAGATTAGAGGCAGCTGTGAATCGTGCACGCAGAGAGTAGCTGGCCAAAATGTGCTGCCAACTCTGAGTCAATACATCAAAGCTCAATGTGCATGGCATGTGCCATCATATTCTCACGGTTTAGTTTTTGTGCATGTCTCAGTAAGGCCCACGCGCAAAAAATGATTGACAGTCATGTTGAGCACTCCAACAAGATACATCAGCCTCACTCACCTGATCGATCCTGTGACCATGGCCACCATCCTTGACTCCACTCTCCACTGCAGCCTTGTCTGCAAGGGCGATAGAGCATGTCGTTACAAGCGTGCAGCTCCAACGGCTTCAGCGATAGGGCATTACAAGCTTGTCTCAGGTGGCATTTTCACTGACAACACCTGGGACTTCCCAGGGGACGATGCCCTGAAGTCACTGCTCCACGATGATCCAGATCAAGTAACAGCTGGGCAGCTATCATCCATTCGCAGATTGATGTTTGACGCCCAGAAGTTTTCGGCTGCCGAGGTCAAACATGTTCTTGCAGGGAGCGAGGCGGCCAAGAAAGCTGAACTGCTCCCTGCAGAACGCGCGCAGCGAATCCAAGACCAACGTGAAAAGTTGTCAGGCATGGAATGGACAGGGCCCTATGAGTGCAGCCATGCCTCATATGATTTTGTTGCCAAGATGATTCAGAACAACGGCTTCACCACCAGATCTTCAGAGGTCTCCAGGGAGAAGCCAGGCAGGGAGTTAGTTAGTGCTTGATCAAACCCATTTGACAGTCAAGGACGTTGAGAGCCAGGCCAAGTGCCCCATGCAGAATGAACTGCAGATCTTCCAGGCACTGACGCGTCGGGCGCTTGCTTGCGACTTCATGGGCGTCTCAACATTCAAGTCGATGGAAAGGTGGCATCGATTTTTGATGGATTCCATGGCAGTTGCAGGCCCCCCAGGTTGCAGATCACCAACCATCGAGCAAGCCCTTTGTGCCGATCATGCAGGTTGGGTGCGTCTTGCAGAAAAGATTGACACCCTCAAAAGACAACCAGATGGAAAGCTTCCCCTGGATTCAGCATGGGATCAGCTGCGCAGTGATCCGGCCACTGTGCTCCATCTCCTACCCATGCCCATGGCGAAGTCTACAGAAAGACCCAGCAAGCCCACGCCTGCCACACGCAAGGATGGGGCGAACAAGACCCATGACGGGCCAGCCAAGGGCAGGGGCAAAGGCAAGAACCGTGGGAAGAATCGTGGCAAGATGCCTGTGGAACTTGTCGGGCTCCATCAGGCCATGAAGTCAGGGAAGCGGATCTGTGTTACAACTACAATCTATCGAAGGGCTGCAACTTCGCCCAACCAGGTGGTGCTGCAACAAGGGGTGACTGCAACAAGGGGTGACTGCAACAAGGGGTGCCACGTGTGCATGAGGTGCTTTGGCCAGCATCCAGCGCATCAGTGCCCATCGGCGTCAACACCTTGACTAGCCGGCCATAGTGGTGTTGCCAAGAGGCCTGACATTCTTCCTGCACAGGGTCCCCAGCAAACACAACAATGCTTTGCTGAGAGGCCAGCTCTTGACCGATGTGCCAAGCGCTTTCAAGTAAATCCATCAGTGACCTTTATGCCAGATGCCAGATATCGAGGTTTACTCAGGAACTGCCGGCCTTACAGCTGCGCACCGCGGCGCATAGGCATAGTCAGCAGCCTTGGAGTCGACGCTCATGTGACCAAGCAGGTCGAAGCCCCAGTTGTGCGATTGGATTTGACGACTCCACCAGGTGTTGAACTTCTGTGGCGTATCCTGCATCACCTACATGTGGCTGTTGTGCATCTGGGGATTTTGCGGAACAAGCTCAAGGGCACGAGACATCAGGCGCCGCACTGGCCCGGACCCTCGCCCCTTGCGATCTAATCAATTTCCAGATGGACTTCCAGGCCTCACTGGTTTGAATGCGAAGCGTGTAGCGGCTTCCAACCAATTGTGCCCTTTGGCGGTGAAATTTTTGCTTGGTGCACACAGCAGGGCATCCTCTGCTCCTTGGAAAACCCAATGAGATCCTACATGTGGCAGGCCCATTCCCTTATTCAACACATTGGGCACCTCAATGACTTACACTCAGCATGTTTTCATCATTGCATGTTTGGTGCGCCACGCAAGAAGCGGACCAAGCTCGTGTGCAATCATGCAGCCTACCTGGGCCTCACCAGCAAGTACGATGGTAAGCATCCACATTTACCATGGGGGCGCGCTGGGTGTATCTGGGCGACCTCCCTGGAAGAAGAATATCCACTCCCACTCTGCCGTGCAATTGCACAAGTTTGTCGTCATGTTCTTCTTGACGGGGGGGCCCATGATATGCTTGCGCAACTGGAACACGGAGGAGCTGCATCACTGGTCCAGGCCAGCCGGGCGGCCACTGGAAAGTTGAGACCTTTGGTTCGTGAATACTCCTGCATTGTGAAGATTCAGGGCCCCCTTGCTGCCCTCGACACTTTGCTTGTGAAATGCGATGCAGCCGATACAGCCGTCCAGCTCCCACTTGACTGTACCATGCATACTCCTTTGCCTTCACTGCCTGCTCATTCCAAGCGTACCAAGCCTCCGATGAACCTGGGGGATGGGTCGAGTCTTGCGATGTGGGTATCACTGCGTGGAACCCAAGTTCCTTTGTACACGAAGCATCTGGCCGCTCGCATCTTAGACACTTCATGGACGGTGTGCACAAGGCCCTTGTGGACCTTTTTGCTCGGATAGCGGTGGATCTCCTGGCAAACATAGAACGGAACAGATGCGCAAGTGGCTCCTACGTGCACAAGAGTTCAAGTGCTGTGGGCAGTATGGAAAGGAAGAGCCTCCAAGCCATGCGAAAGAGATCCTAGAGGCCAAGAACCTGCGCCTTTTCTATCAACTCAATGAAGCTGCTGGGTCCCCAGACCAGGGATTAGCAGAGAACATGGCCAAGGGCTTCGACCTCATGGGGCCAATTCCAACAGGTGGCATTTTTCCTCAGAAGTTTCAGCATACGACTCTGACCCAACACAAATCAGGGAAATGGCTGACATTTCCAAGCATGCCATTTGGAGGGCGACTGGAAAATGCAAGGACGAGGATCTTGCAAAAGACGTCCATCAAATCACCCTTGAGGAGCGCGACAGAGGCTGGTTGAAGGGCCCCTTTTCTTTGTCAGAACCCCCAGTGGGGGCAATATTAACTCAGAGATTCGGTGTCAAACAATCCACCACCTTGTCCAACGGGAGCAGCACCTACAAGACGAGGCCCATTGATGACTTCTCTGAGTCCTTGGTGAACTCCACGAACTCAATGGATGAGACCATTCAACCAATGGGCATTGACATGGTTTTGGCGGCCTTGGCCCTGCGGTTCCGTTCCTGGGGTCCAGAAGAGTTGCAAGGTAAAACCATTGACCTCAGGAAGGCGTGCAAAAACTTGCCCGTATCTAAGAGTGCCTTCAACGACTCCTTCATCTGTGTCATGGACCCGGACTCGTCAGAACCTCAAGCATTTCAGAGCCAGGTACTTCCCTTTGGTGCCAGAGCAGCGGTCATGGGGCTTTGCCTGGTGTCTTTTGCGTTGTGGCTGATTGGAGTCGTCATCTTCAAGTTGCACTGGACAGTTTCCTTCGACGATTTCTACTTGGTTGCATCAAAGGCTGAGACCAAGCATGTAGACATGACGCAGCAGCTCTTCTTTCAGCTTGTTGGCTGGGAGGTATCTTCTGAGAAGGAGGCAGAGTTTAACTCTTTGGCCAGGATTTTGGAAGTGCAGATTGACCTGAACGAATCGTTGCTGGGTGTTTTTCACCGTCTGCAATGTTGAGACACGCGTCAAAGACTTGGTTTCTGCAATCGGTGGTGTCCTTGAGCGTGGAACCTTGTCCACCGCTGGGATGAGTGTGCTTCGTGGGAGGCTTGTCTTTGCGGAGGCACAAATCCACGGAAGACTCACTGGCATCCACATGCAGCAGTTGACCCGATGGGAACATGCAGGGGGTGACGCGCCCCTGGATGATGATGTCAGAGACAACCTTGTCTTCTTGAAAGAGCGAGTGGTTCTTGGTGGGCCCAGGCGAGTCATAGCTGAGCTTGGACGGGTCTTCCATTTGTACACGGATGCCTGTTACGAGAATGGAACAGGTGGGCTTGGTGGTGTTCTGATGGGCAGGGCACCCAGCTTTCATATTTCTCTGCCAGAGTCGATGAAAGCCAAGTTGCAGTCCTGAATCCAGACTACAAAGAGACGACTTGGAAGCCCTCGCGGTGCTCATTGGTTGCCTATCACTGCTGCCATCAGAAGGCATCTTCCAAAACGACCGCCTGGTAGTCTTTGTAGACAACGAAGCAGTGTTACACCGCCTAGTGTCGGGCCGTGGAGGAAACCATGTGGATAATCGGATATTCCAGCATGTGCTGGCGATTCTGACATTCTTGCCTGGTACGAACGTGTACCCAGCTCGGCGAATGTGGCCGATGCACTGTCGAGGGGTGATGTGTCAAACCTTGATCCTTCCCTCGAGACAACCGCAAATGTCACGGCTGTTCTGAAGAACCTCTTTGAAAGCTGTCCCAGAGAGACCATTTCCCCATGTGTAGAACAGGGCGCATGTGTGTGCGCATGTTTGAGAGTGCATCATCACATGAGTTGCAAACATCAGAAGAACAAGGTCATTCTCCCGAAGGGATAGGGCTTTGTTTGTAAGATGTGCAGAGTGTACATGTACACGCCAACTCATGTGCTTGGTTGATGAAACCTCTCTTCATGTTTGGATTTGGATCAGGGTGTCAGTATCCAAATCAACAGAAACCATCCCGCCCTCAGCCTTTATGTGAAAGCACCATGCCTTGACAGGTCCCTTGGAATTCGGTTTCATGTTTCATTTTTACAAACCTTTTTGTTGCAACGGTGCTTCATTTGTAGTGCCATGACTTTGGTGCTGATTCCAGAACCTGTGTCAATCCAGCGGCTTTTGGCGCCTCTCCTTGCGATTGACCGCAACCTTCAAGAGCCCCGAGACATCCTCTACGATTTGCAGGACATGGAAGATGATCTCACCGACTGGGATGTCCTTAGTCCAGTGGCACCCCTTCGCCAGGCGACCAGCCGCATTCGCCTAGTGCTTACTGAGCTTGAGATTCACAAACTGAGGATCCTTTGCCAACTGATTCGCAGCCTGCATCGTCATTGGCAACAGCATGGGCACCCACCACATTTGGACCTTGACATCCCCTGAGCTCTTCAGTTTGACTTCTTTTTCCTCGGTTTCAATGGCATTTGTGCATCAATCGATGCCGCCTAACCCAGCCGTGCGACGCAGAGAGACCATTTCCCCATGTGTAAAACAAGGCGCATGTGCGTATATATATATATATATATATAGTCACGGACACCCAGTTAGCAGGAACCAGCCAAAGCAAAGTAGTAAGCAGGAGGGTATTTTAGGGATTCATATAAGGTCCCGTTCGGAGCCCCGAGCTGCTTACTGCCCTGGTCAAATTATAGGGAGGGTTCCTGCTTACTGCGTTGTCCCTACTTTTCGTGGGGAAGAGGCTCGGTACAAGGCAATTTTTTTTCCCCCGCATGATCTTGACACTAAGTCTACTGTACCTGTCTTGACACTAAGTCTACTGTACAAGCACTTCAGGACAACGGGGCTGTAGTAAGCAGATTCTGAAATTGTTTTTGGTGTATATGTTCATATATCTGCTTACTACAGGTGTTTGTACTTAGGCCTTACTTAGGTCATTTCTTATTTGCCTGATTTTGGCCTCTGGCAGATGCAGTAAGCAGATCAGTCTCTGCTTACAAGGCGTCCCCGACTATATATATATATAATATACACGTAGACATATTGCAGCAGATTCAAAGAAGTTCACCTTTTGAAGTAGCAACCCCGGAATGACATTGGAACCAAAGTTCGTGGGAATTGAACTGTCGCAGGAAAGGATGGAAGACAATCTTCATCGCCTACCAGAAACTGGATCAGCATCAATAGCAGTATCTAAACTCAGATGGTGGCAGCAGTAGTGCATCTGGAAGCAGAGACTGTTCGTTCGGTTTTATGCTGCTTCTTCAAGGTTTGCTTGTTCTGTCATCCGTGCTCTGGGAATGTCAAAACAGACTCGACTCCAGACTCTTTTACAAACAATGTTTTTTGGGCTTTCAGAAACTGCAGCCTACCTATTGTAATTATATGGGTTGAGTTGAACCACAGTAGTTGGAAGGACAAAAAGAATTTGTTCGGATTCCAATGTGCTGTACAGACGTTTTGCAACCATGAACATCCAGACGAGCGAGGCAGAAGGTAAACGACAACTCTCTATCACGTGCATTTATCACTGATTTATTTGTTTTTTTTCCATTTGTCCGTTTGTCCGCTTGTCTGCCTGTCCCTCTGTCCATCTGTCGTGTGTATATCTCTGTATATCTCTGTATGTCTCTGTATATCTCTGTATTTTTCTATCCATTTGTCTTTCTATTTGTCCATTTATCTATCTAGCTATCTATCTATTATTTTCTTTTCTTATCTTATCTTATCTTATTCTTACCCAAAAATTGAAAAACACAATGATGCTGGCCCTTGCACGCATACGTTCATACAACACCGACAAATATTTGTTGGATCTGCTGGGCTCCTTGTGTAGCTTTCTGAGGCCCGCCCCCCACCGCCTGGGCAGCCACGTAGCTAAGCTGCAAAGTGGCCGCTGTAAACTTAATGAGCATTACATGAGCATTACATGAGCATTACATGAGCGACACTTTGGACATGTTTGGACACCGGAAAGTTTCCAGGGGAACGCATTACATGCTGCATTGCTGCAACAGCTTGCAACGAGGTGGAGCTTTGGTTGCACCACCTGGGAAGACAAGCTACGGAGGTCAGCGCAGCCTTGTAAGCAACAGGGCCAAACGCGAAACATGGCAAAACATGGCAGAACATGGCGAAACCACATTCGAGTCTGCAAACTGCAGAGGGAGGGACCTCCGACTCCTGCTTACAAATTTGTCTTCAGTTGTCAAGATGTCTCGGAAACAGAAATGCCTTATTTTTGTGGAACAATTTGGCCTTGGCGGTTCAAAGATGGAATTGTTGAATTGTTGGTCCTGGAAGTAGCTTTCTTCCAACTGCGGCTGGATCTTGAGTTTGGAGCTCCATGTCCATGAGGTCCTGTCAGTGCAGTTCCCAGCGCGGAGGTTCAGAGCTGCCGGGAGAACACTTCAAACATATCCAGCACATTGTAACGGAGGTTCTTATCATGCCAAAGACCATAAGCTGCAAGCGTGTTTCATTGATGACCCAGCCTTAAAAGTAGGTGTGAATGTTGTGAAACATTGACAAACATGCCTGTGATTGACACCTGTACCATTGGTACATGCCTGTATAGACACCGCTTGTTGGGGCAAATCTCGACACGTCCGACACGTCCGACACGTCTGGCACGTCTGGCACGTCTCTTTGGTCGCAATGTGTATGGCTCGGGAAAGCCGCACGAAAGCCGCACGAAACAACAGGAGCAGCGCTTGGCACAAGAAAGACTTCTCGCAGTGCCGAGCTCGGTCAAAGTTGCCAAAGGCCCCGTTGGAAGAGTGAAATTCTCGAAAGATAATCACGGATAATCTGTGAATCAAAGGTTCTGGGCAACAAATTTTGAAGCTTCGCACTATTTTATTTTCTTGAGCTCTTTCTGAATCTTGCTTGCAATAAAGGACCAGAAGCGAATGGAGGAGGAGAACCGTCGACGTGCAGAGGAGTTCAGAGCTTTGCAATTCTCTTGGAATTTCTTGCCAGTCGGAAGAAACACTGAACAGAAAGGCAGCTGCGCTCGCGCTTGGTAACTTCCATGAGTTTGAACAATTATATACTGTAATCTTTGGCAACTGGAACACACGATTTGACGTCTATTTCCCCCTTTTCTGTCTAAGTCCAAGAGATGTGCTTCAGTACTTTGGAATGGGCGAGCGTTTGGGTTTTACTTCGAAGGGGGTGTTGCATCTCATCAATCTCATCGCTACTTACGCCTGTTGGTAAGTAGGGAATGTAAAAAAAGGAGACGGGAATGTGAGTGTCAGTGTCAACTAATACAATCTTTTCTCTTTTTGTTCAATTCTTGTGTAGCTGTTTGCTCTGGAGCTTCTCAAGTCCCCCTTTAGATGTTTTACATTATTTTACATTATTTTACATCTTCGCCTAAGTTTGCCTTCTCTCTGTCCGTGTCGCGAACAAGCTCAAGCGCAGCGCTGCAAAGGAGTTGGCAAGGCAGCGCGCAGAAGAAGAGCGTCGCAAGCGTGAGGCCCGGCCTTTGACGTCATGTGGCGGTGCCAAGCGGTGCCAAGCGGTGCCAAGAGATATGCCAAGATGCCAAGATGCCAAGATCCAAGAATTCCAGCCATAACATTGTTATCTCAAGTTATCTCCGTGGTTATAACATTATAACATGCCCAGAGACCCCAATATTCCTGTCTGCTGAGAGCCACAAGAGCCACAGGAAGAGGAGCGACGACGGCAGGAGGAAGAGCGCCGCCGGGAGGAGGCCCAAGAGAGTTCAAAACGCTTGTGACACGACTGACACGACTGACACAATGTTTGTTACACCGTTTCACAGTAAGCTTTGCATGTTTCAAAATGTTTCAAATGTGTGAATTCTGAAATAGATTTGAACAGTTTGGGCCACTGCTTGCTGTTGAAAGTCTTTACAAGACTAGGACTAGGACACTTTGCTTTTGTAGTCAATTGGTTGCCACGGAAGGGAACAGTCATTCTGGAAATACGTCTCTTGATGCAAAGGAGCGGAGAGCAAAGGAAGAACTCGGAAAGAAGACCAGCGGCCTGATGCCGGGTCCCAATTTTCATGATGTATGGCCGGACGTGATCAGCGAAGATGGGGCTGTCACGAGAGAAACATTTACAAGCTGAGACGATGTATTCTCCTTGTCTACACTCTGTCAATTTGACATCGAACCAAAAGCAGGCAATTTTGAGTACTAAATCATCTTTGGGAATCTCTCGGATCCCATTAGGTTCCATGTCAAATTTAGGTGTCGACGGATTAGACGATGATTCTTGATTTCGATTTCTGCCTTGAAATGTCTGATTCGGCCCAGGTCTGGCCTCCTTTCAAGCAGTGGTGGCGGTGGCGGTGGAGGGGGCCTGCCCTAGTGCCCAGTTGTCAGAGTCATGAGCAATCGAGATGTGATCTGCAATGCCCTTATAACTTATAACTTATAACAATCTAAAAATCATCCTTTGAATCCCTGAAGCTACTGAGCCACCGCCCTACCATTATCCATTTCCTACTTCAGTTACTTCAGAAAAACCCAAAAAACATCGTCACTGGTTGAGGTTTGGAGATGAAGAACCCAAGCGGGCCAGCAAGGGCGGCCTTTTCGACGATTAGCGTGACGCTGAGTGCTCCCGACAGAGGGATGGAAGTGGCAAAGGGTTTGTTTCAACTCTTCATTTGTAAATATGTGAAACAAGCTTGGTATGCTTGCCTTGGCCTAGTTGTGCCTGCTTATATAATGGTTGAAAGCAAGATCTACCATGAAAGGAACATGAGAGCATAAGGAACCAAAAACATCGAAGAGGCCAAGAGGTCTTAATGGGCTTTAATTCATATTAGTTCCCCATGCAGAGCAAGAGATCCTTTACATAGTATCAGTAGCACACTGATCACTCCAGGTTTCGTCTTCTGTCCAGCTGCATGGATCCCATTGATGCCATTCAGGTGGAGAAAACTTTTCAATTTTACAAAAAAAATCCAACAACTGAGATCAACTGAGTTGTTTTTTACAGAGCAGAATAGATTCGACATGATTCGACACATCCAACGCTGGGCCTCTGAGGAGTGGACGAACGGAGTGTGCCTTGAGGCGCTAGCTGCTAGTCGCTGTTGCCGTCTTGAGTGCCCTAGTGACCCTAGTGGATCTGACTGGCTTCGGAGTTTTCCCATGGTTTCGCCATCTTTAGTCAATGAATAGACATACTTTCCAGACTACTGGCGCCCGCAATGAAGCACCCTGCATGATCTTTGTGACATCGTTCTGACATCTTCGGACTCGTCTTCGCTTGTTCGAAAACGCTGCTGACATTCTTGCAGGTGCACCAGCTGATTTGGTTTTGTGCCAAAGGAGATACTGTGGCATCGGAAACAGGGAATCCGGGGCAGGGTTGGTGCTGAACATTCCTCTTGAAGGGTAAACATTTTCTCGAGCTTCAGAATGTTCGAGCAAATCTTTCAAAATTGCCAGGACCAGGGACTTAAGGGAAGTGATTGGCTGTCGCTGAATCTCTGCAGGATTTTCCAATCTTGCAAAGAATTTTGTTCGAACAAATAGCAGACCTTTGAAGCCCGTTGAGCAGGTCATCATCTTCCGTTGGTCTGGTTTCAACCATTGGGTAACTCTACTGATCTGCAACCCTTCTCCAAAAAATCAAACATCTGAAAGGTAGAAGGATCCACATCGATGAACCTTTTGACTGCCAGATGGAACCTGTTTGCCGCTGCTTCCACGTCTTCTATAGTGGTGGCAGTCTTGAACACTAGGACATGACCAGACCACAATGAAAAACGATCCACGACCAACCTGTCCAACCACAGAAAAGGCCAGGTATTATGTTCAGTTTATTCAGCCTTAACATTTTTAGTCTTGGATAAGCTTTAGCATTTTTATCCATTCAGCAGAGCTTGGCAGTGGGGTTTGGACATCTGAAGTTTGGCAAACGGCTAGAGAGAAGCGTCAGAGACTGATTTTGATATTTTTGATTATCCCCATGGACTAGTTGACTAGTTCCTGTTACATACAGAAAAGGTCTTACCGAGAACAGATCCATCGTTCTGTAGAGCTATGGCACGCAAGAAGCGGAAGGCAGGACAGGCAGGGCTGTGCGGATGGCGTGGCACAGGGTAGCATGGCATAGCATGGCGCGTGGTCATGTGTAGCGGCGTAGCGGCTTATTTTGGTTGGAGCACACTTCGTAACAATCTAAGTGCTGCAAGCTCTCTGCAAAAAAGGCTGGGTTCCATCTGTGCGAGAGTTGCGCAATGAAAACAAATCTGTGCGGTTGCTGTCACCCGTGGAAGTAGAGCACATGCGCACGTCATATTGGCTGATATGGCTGACATTTGGCACAAGGGGATGGTCAGTTGCAGCAAGGCATCACACCGTTCGCAATACATGCGAAAGACACCCCGTGCAGTTGTGAACTCATGACTGATTTGCCAATGCAAAAGACATATGTAGTGAAAGAGGGAGCATTGGAGACCTTCAGATTTACAGTCCGTCACTACAGGGTCCATCGCCCATGGGTTTACCACGTTCTTCTTGCTAGCCATCTTCCAAACAAACCAGCAAGGATACTGGATACGTCTCAATTGCAACAGTTTGATTTGATGTGGTCCAATCCAAGGCAACTTGTTGTTTGCATAGAGGACCAATAACAGGCTTAACATATCTTAACATTTTGCTGAATTGTTGACTCTGTTGACTCTGTTGACCTGCTGCAGGCCGCTCCGGACAAGGCCACGGCAACAGTTTGCTCTCCGGACATTACACAGGGAGAAGTACAGGAGAGATGTCCGAGAACTGCCATCAATTTGGCCAAGCAATGTTGACTACCCAGCTTGGACGGGAAGCATTCATAAAGTTGCCATAAGTTGCCTCTGATGTTTTCACATTCAACGTTAGAAGTAGGCCAATCTGGCCAATCTTGAAATTGTTGTTTTCCAGTTTTCTTTTGCCTTCGCCTGGCCCTGGAGTGTGTTTTGCACCTCCTGTTTTGTGGCTTGCACCTTTTTTCGCACTGGCTCAAACAGCACGCACAAAAGAGACTGATCACAGCTTGAATCTCGACGTACCATCCCAAGCAGCCCTACCCACAGCTGTAGAAACCACAGCCAGCAGAAACGAAACTGGATCATCTATCAGTGAAACGACTTAGCTGCGATGATCTGGCCGATCCAGTGGCTATGACGCCTGTGTCATCCAGGATGGGATGGGCACCGCCAGACACAATTGCATTTTGTAGATATCTGTACATGTACTGAAGTCAACTTACGATGAGAACTTTTCGTCGAAACAAATCTGCCTACAAACTTTGCCAAAGCCGTTGAGTTTGCCCTTTGTCCCGGTTGGTGACAGGCAGTGACAGGTGAAGAAGCCAATTGAAAATTTCAAAAAACAGGTACATTGTGGTGTTGCATGCCATTTACATGTGGAAGAATCATTATGGACGGTACATATGAACTTTCCTATGTGACAAATGATCTAGAGATGTGAGATGTGATTCTTGCGCAAGGATAATGCTGCAATTTCAGGCCAAGGGATTGGGTTGCACACGGAGCGAAGGATCAAAGCTTCTGATGGTGTCATTCAACCCATGAGAGCATAGATGTTTTATGTATTTTTTATGTCATATTGGTCTGTTTTGTTTCTCTCTTTTTATTGGCAAGCTACGTTACGTTTCGCATAAACAAAGGCTATAATTTAAAAGCACAGCCACATGGGTGGCAACGGCTCTATGACCCCTGAGTTGCCAAACCCATCTGCACTCTTTTCTGCAAGCAGACTTTCTGCAAGCAGACTGACCGTTGTATTCCTGTAGGTTGCCTACCTGATTCTCTTGGCAGCTCCGCTTTTCCTCGGAAGGTTCAAAGCGAGTGCAAGGGAAGTTTTAATGGCATACTGATGCATATTGATGCATATTGTATAAATGGGTGCTGTTTTTTGTGATGTGCAAACAACCCCATAGAGACGATATGAGAAGGATGGAATCTATGGGTTAGAGACAGTTAGAGCATCTTTAGTTTTTTTGCAGCTACGATGATCCCAGAGATCTCAGAATGTCCATGACTGTAGGGACTGGTGCAGAGAGGGGGCTATATGAAATGCACTGAACGAGACGTAACCTGCAAAGCTGCTTGGGTCATGCATTAGTCTCAACGAACTTTGGTCTCTTGTCCTACATATATAAACGACCTTTGCTGGGAGACGAAATTGTGGATGCTGCAAAAGCAGGAAAAGTGCCTATTTTGGTGAAGCAGCCAGCAAGTTTTCCATACAGTACAATCTTCAACCCTGGAAATAAAATCTCCTTCTCAGGGCCCGAAATGTGTCCTCACACCTTCCAATCACAGCATTTTGCAGGGTGGAAGCTGGTGACGAGGCTAGCGCCGCTGCGAAACCGGATTTGCAGCCTGAAGAAGTGTGACATTTTCAAGAGTCTCAGAGGGGCGTGAACGACTGAAACAAGCTAATACAAGCTAATACAAGCTAATACAAGCTAGAAGTAATGGCAAGCAGAAGTTTGCCAGAGCTTGTGGGGTTTGTGAGGTTTCTGCAAAGTCTATTGAGGTCATGGATTGAGTTCAACAGTTGAATTCTCCAGTGATTGTTTTGGACAGGCTTTGGCGTAGGATAGCAATTCAAATGAGATTTGGAACGGAAGAAACTGCTTCTCTCAGGATGAGCCACATCAGATTTCTGGCCCCTTTCAGGCTGTCTTCAGAGATACAAGATTTGAACGGTTTGAACCTGAAGATATTGAGAGATGGCAGCGACCAGTCTGCACTTCTTCATAGCCAGGGAAGGTACCATGGGAGCAACCTAAGTGACTCAAAAGAGCTGATTGCTTCTCGGGGTTTCGGCTGGGTTGATGCACTGTTTGTATGTGAAGCTAAGTTGGAAGGAACTGCCAAGAAGCGAACTCCTTTTTTGAAAGGTCAAAATTAAACCTAAGATCAGAGAAGTTTTTGCCCTGCTTGAATTCATGCCGTTTTCCGAATCATGTCATTGCGTTTGCAAAGACAGGACAACATCTGTGTAAACTTCGACGTGGCCACCACAAAAAGGATCAAAAAGGGTTAGATGGAAACGAACTCGCAACCAAAAGTGACTGAAGGAACCACAACGGTCAATGTTTCATTGTAGCGATTGAGAGGTTGTAGTTGACAGAGCGTGTAAAAAACTGCCAGTGATGACAGTCCATAGGGTTCAAGTTAATCAGCACAGAGAGATTGTATAGTCAACCTGCTACCTGCTGTGAAGTTCATTGAAGGCACATCAGCACAGCACAGACAGAGTTTCCAAGGAGCCAAATGTAGGCCACCCCAAAAAAGCCTTGTCAATGCTGGTGAGGTCAAGACACGACCCCTTTTCTACCACTTTAAGAACGGATATGTGCATCCGATATTGGGTGTTGCGGTTGGGGTGTACAGTGTAGAGGCTTGCATACTCACACACACAACAATACATAATATATAATACATAATATATAAAATATAATATATAATATATAATATATAATATATAATATATAGTATATAGTATATATATATTATTATTATTATTAACATATACATATATATATATATATATATATATTCATAGGTGTATATA